ACTATCAATAGCATTCTTATCTAATAATTCAAGGATAGCGCATAAGACGTCGAAGTTTTTACCATCACTATAATCAGGAGGCAGCAGTCTCTCGAACCCAGTGAGGACAGCACCCCACGTGGAGTAGGAAGGGTTGTTGCACTCTCCTCCAATACTCCTGTAGCGATTCGGAGACGCACAGGATGGCTGTGGTGGGCAGAAGGGACCTGGAACATTAATAAATTGGTATATTTTATTATAAATATCAAGTAAAGTAAGTGTAAAAATGATGTGTAAAAGACTGACGATGACTCTGGTAGCTAAATCAAAAAGACGGTAGCTAATAAGATAGATGTGCAGTTAGAAAAGAAAGTTGAAACATACCTATCAGAGATTATCACATTTAAAAAAATACTGACATACATAAACAAAATGAATCCTAATAATTTTGTTTAGTTAGCTCTGGCTAGTTTTGCCATAAAAATGCTTAATTTTCTCTACATATAAAAAAAAGATATATTTTAATATTATTACAACAAAATTGTTTTAAAAATCGTACCATCAGCATTCTCAGTAAGTCCCAAAAGCAGGTCATCTTCAGAGATAGCCTGACGCGCCTTCAACTCCTGCGCAGCGAATAAGTTCAGTAAACCACCGCGACCGAGTGTAGCGGCGCGCGCATCGTGTGATACCACAGACTGTTATAGAAAAAAAAAGATCAGTATTTGCAGTTTATAAATACAGCCTTGTCTACCGAGCAAGGGTCTCAAGGTCACATCCGCTCAGGTCTGGTCGAAATTTTTGGATTTCGAACCTTTCTCAGTAAAACCTGGTTTTTTCCTCTTTTCAGTAATACCCTCAACGCGTTTTTCATAGGACTGATAATTTGATAACACCATTTTTTTCGTCACGTACCTACTATTCAGAATAATTTATTGAAAATGATCGTCAAATTGTCGTACCGAAGCAAACCTAACCTAAAAATTACTACCAGTTACTTTTTTATTGGAAACTAACAAGCATCCCCATTACCTGATGGTAAGCAATCCGACCCTGAACAATAACTCGTAGGAGTTACGAGTGTGTGTCTGACCTTTTGGGGATATAGGGATTCGGAAAGGACGGTGGGGAGGATTTGGTCCCCGCGGCAAAAGCGTTCTGTTTTCTGTGACTTACCAAATGATGTCCAAAACTTGGAGAAGTTGCGTTGGTGACTGTCATCAGGGAATGCTGGAGCAGCTGAGCCGCAGTCATCACCCAGTCTTCCAGCTTCAGTCGCGACTGACGGTGGGAAACCTTGACATCTTCCACGCTGATTGCTGTAGATGCTCGGGAACGAAACTCTAACTCCGCTGTATATAAAATAAAATGTTAATTAATTTTATTCACTTTAACGTAACTCTACTTTTTTAATGTTGTTGGCCGGCAAACAAGATTACGGATTATCTGATGGTAAGCAATCGGCGCCCCCCATGGATACTCGGAACAACGGGGAAGATTCAGCCAGGGTTGCCGGTTAAGCCCAATGAGTCACCGCGGCGTCGGCCCAAAGTAGGAAAAGGAACGGGAAGGAGGGTTAGTCAATAAGAGGATTAGTCAACACTTCCTTCCGCACGCGTTGCCGACATTATGGGGATAAAGGATTCAATGATTAGGGAGAAATGGTGAGGAATTGGCCTCTGGTAACCCCACTCACACGGCAAAACAACGCTGTGGTTATTTCACGCCTGTTTTCGTTACGAGTTAAGAGTGCATTGCTGGCCTTTTGACAAATAGGGTTTCGGAGATTTAGGATTTTCTACTACTATTTTTAATTAGTAGTAAACCAATCTCTCTCACGTTCTTACCGTCATATTATCAATTCCTTGTCTAACACATTGCATTTCATGGTACAATAATGACGTCTAGAAATAGTTACTAGCCATAAGAATGGTACCTACAAACTATTCGTTATCTTTTTTTTTCGAAGGGAGTATCAAATGTCTTCCTGGGGCAAGAGAGAGTGTTAAACTCTTACTGACTAAATACCACTCTGTTCTTTCTCCTGATCCAGGCTGGGGCCGCGGAACCTTATTGCGCTTGCCTCGCAACCCTGGCTGAACATCAGCCCGTGTAAGCTCCATTGGCGGTCTATTGGCCTGATTATTATATGTATATTATTTGCAAATCACACTCACTTGCATGTCTTCTACCAGTGAAGCAGCAGACTCCGACCACACCATCGAGATGACACGCTGGGTTATAGGAGCCGCTGCGCACGTGAGCTGGACACTGCACCTTGGGCACGCATCGCCCGTGACGAGGGCATACGGCACAGGGAGGCTCTTTTAAATGTACGTGTGCATTATGACCTGCAATAAAATCTTACTTCTTACTAATCTAGCTAATATTATAAATGCGAAAGTTATGATGTGTGGAAGTTTGTCACTCAATCACGCCAAAACGGCTGGATAGATGTAATGTGGATGAAATTTGACACAAGCATAGAATACATTCCGGAATAGGCCATAGGCATACCACGACATACCACGCGGGCGAAACCGCAAGTGGAAGCTAGTTACTTATAAGTAAAAAAAAATCCGACTTCTGAATAATAGGGATTGCGTTCCTTGATACATTGCTCATAAAGTTTCTTGTGATTCTGACCGCGCAGTTGATTACGCGGTCTGAAGCTGTAATGAATGTGGAGCGAAACCCCGATTTAACGAAGCGATTAAACGAAGCCTAAGCCCTGATCAATGGAAATTCTTCACTGAACTTATTAGCATAAGGTCTACAATAAGTATATTAAATTTGATTTGCGCCCGTTTCTCACGCATGAGGGGTTCGAAACCGTTTCTGAGTTATATGTACTTTCGATGATTATTTACACATCACTCACATAGAGGTGAAGGAAAACATGGAGAGGTAACCTGGACTTTCTAACTATAAGTTTGAAATCGCCAAACTGCTTTAAGCAAGCGTGGTGATTAAAGCTCAAACCTTCTTCGTGTGAGAAGCTTTTGCTCAGCAGTGGGTACTGAGCAAATTTTGGCTGATGTGAGATGTGATATTAAAATTGACTTTTAAGATAATATGATAAGGCATGCTTATTATGAACCGATTTTAACAACAGTATTCTTTAACCAATAATTTTCGAAAAGTGGATCTAAGTTAAACACTTCACGGTTGGCACAGTGGCTGGGCAGCTGTCTACTGTTTTGTTCCAAATCGTGTAATATGCGTAAATTCAATTTGTATAGTTGGACTTGTACAGAAGAAAACCCTAATATTTGCATTGTTCAATAAAAACAAACTATATTCTATTGGGTCTCATTTTCATACTAGGGGTTAAATTCTATGATACTAGTTAAAATTGGTAGTTACTTATACCCAGTTATTCATAACATCACTTTTAAACGTCAAGATAATGTAAGTATAAAAAGTTAGGTTATAAATTATTTTCCTAAACTTAACTTTATTTCATATTTTGACAGCACAATTGGTGCGGTGGCTGGGCAACTGGCAGCCGTGCAACGTGTCGCGGGTACGATTCCCGCACGGAACAACACTTTGTGTGATCCACAAATTGTTGTTTCGGGTCTGGGTGTGATGTGTATGTGAAATTGAGTTTTTGTAAAAGCCCCTACGACACAGGAGAAAAACCTAAATATTGATTGACCTAAATGTAAGAATTATTGATTAATGAACATCTTACCTTGACCATGTGTCACATAGCTTTTATCATGCGCGTGCGCAAACACTATAACGGGACACACTACTACCACATACACGAATAGCCGCAAAATAAACGTTAACAGACTCATGTTGATAGGAATATCTAAACTAAATAAAATGAATTATGGAAAAAATCTATTGAATTTATTTACGGGACTTTAGACATGGCTGCCCATTCGCCAGGCAAGCGGAGAACGAAATGAACGAATAAAGAATTTTTTCTGACCCAAATGACAAATGTAGGGTAGCTGTATTTTTTTTTTCAAAAATAATTATATCAATCAAATGGACACCCGCAACAAAAAGCCAAAAAGAGTATAAATGTGGATGGATGGAGAGGGAGACCAAAGAAAATATGGATGGATTGTGTGAGAAGTGATATGGAAGACAGAGGAGTTAGTGATAGCATGACGGGTGACAGGACAGAATGAAAAAAAAAACATATTACGCCGACACCAAATAAAACGGGTCAAGGGCAGGAAGATGTTGATGAAATGGACACCCGCAAAACCAGAATCATCCAGAATTTTAGGAGCGTTGCCTGTCGTTTGGGCTGTATAAAGGCGTTTTGGAGATTAAGGGATAGTACTCGCATGTATGAGAAGTGAAAACCTTAACCTCAATGCCACCACGACAAATAAGGTGTATTGTCGTTTAAAAGACGATTTTCGGGTTATTTTCTTCAAACTTAGCTAGTTTATTCTACACTAGCCTTTGCCCACGACTTCGTTCGCGTGAAAAAATGACTATCTGCAGATTTTTAGCATAAAAACTATCATACGTCTTTTCTCGAGTTCCAAACTATGTCTGTACCAAATCTCACAGAAATCGGTCCAGTATTTTAGACCTTCTTCACGCCAAAGACAAACAGACAGACAGAGTTACTTTCGCATTTATAATTATTAGTTTGGATTTTTGGAGATGTTGCATAAATACTGTCCTTATATAGTGCGATTCTAGATTTGTCCCAATGACATTGACTGGTTACTAGGTCAAATCAATTAAAATTATTAAAACCTTTTTTTGTAAGGATAAGATCATCAACTGACTTCTCTTATCCAGGGGTGTGGCGAGAGGGCGTGTAGGTGTACTCTTAGGTACAGACTAAAACCCCCCTGTCCCTTCTCCTGCTGCAGGCCCGGATCGCGTTACCTTATTGCGCTTCACCGAACTACTTTAGGAGGATACTGAAGTTATTGAATAGAAACTTTCGGTAATTTATTCGTTTTTAAATAAAACAAACGGTTATTAATACTTCATTTTTATTACTCTTACTTACACACATACACATTCTAATTTATTAAAGGTAGGTACTAAGTACATTTACATACACTCACAACTCACAATATAATACGATTAAAACAATAAATTAAGTAACTTGTAATAAAAAAACAATGGTAACAAAAATAAATTCAACAAAAAATCAGGGAAACAAAAATTTGTACTTTTTAAAAGCGCCTGTTAAAACATTCATAGCTTTCTTTTGGCGAACGCCACATTGCATATCAGAAAAATTAAGGATATTTATTATTTTACATTAATATTAGGAAATCAAGTTTTTAATTGTTTCTTCTGTGCTTGTATCTGCTCATCAGAGGGAAGAAGAAATGCGACTATGCCACCACCTGAAAACAAACGAATATATTTTTACTATTGCTAAAGACAGATTTCTTAGGTACTTTGTTGGGAGTAGAAATTTTTCAAATTACTTCTCGCGATGCGCCGTAAGCTTAGGACGGGACGTTTGGCCGTACCGTAGTTAATGTAATTACAATTCCATCGTAATAACTTAAGGTACCTACATGAGCACACCAAGTGTTGAAAATAAAGGACCCTTAATAGTTCCCTCCCATTTTAAAGATTTGTTCCAAGTGTTTTTGTTAGATTTGACAACAGTATTATCATAATCTTTAAAAACCTTTACACAAATATTCATTAAGTTTTATCCTTTAACACGTAATTGTTTTACGAGATACTCGACTAGTTTCAAGCCTGCTACTGCCGGTACTGCCCGTAGTAGCGCCACACTCGCCATCGTGTGTCGCGGAATGCTGCTCATGAATATGGGCCTCTGGCATGGCTTGGAACTAGTCGAGTATCTCGTCAAAACATTTACGTGAGTAAGCCGAAAACAGAATAATTTATTAGTAGTATTTCTCAGGAAAGTTATAATAAAAATCAATCTATAATTGCTGCTCGTCGAAATGCCTCGTCAAAAAGTTTCTTGTGTACGCCGTAAAATATTATGAGTAAAATATATCGTAAAAAAAAACATCACTTACCAAAAGCAATGGATCCATAAATATAGAAAGCGGCTTCACAATTGTTGTCCAACAGCTGTTTGAGGACGTTGATGCCAATCACTGCGCTTCCACGACCTACCATCAGCGTTAGGCATACAGCCATAGCTCTGGAAACAGAAGTCAACATATTAGCAGATTTTGTTATTTATTTATTTATTTATTTCATGCACAAAACATCAAATATTATTAGCTTAAAAACTAAAGCTAAATATGTGCATACTGCAAAATCACAAGTATTAAATATTAAAAAAGCTCAAAAAGGGACAAAAAGAAACAAGAAGTAGAAACTAGAAAACATAAAGGGAAGTGTGTCAACACTGGTGCCCCTCAACAAAAAAATGGGTTAATTAAGATCCTTCAGGAACAGTTTCCCGGGCTTGAAGAATCCACACCAAAACGACAATAGACAACGCTATGATTTTTTCCTAGACTATGATTTGTTTAGGATTTCTGATTTCGAAACACTTTGTTTGTCACTAATCATAAGAAATCATAAATTGGATCATACATTCTTTACCCGGTACTCATATCTTAACCACGCCCTTGAATCTTCTCCTGAATACCAGCTTAAAACAATGCTTGAGTGGTATTTCGCTTCGTGCATGATGTTTACAGAGTTAATTCAAAAAGTTTTAAGACAATTTTAATAATTACACCACACATACACGTGGCGATGTTTACCATTACACAATTTCACATACATATTACACTCAGACCGGAAACAACACTTTTTGGATCATGAAAAGAGTAACCTAAGCCTTTACAGATTAAGAAAAAGAAAAATTTATTAATTCAACTCACTTAACATAAGTGGGGAACACATCGACGCTGTATGTGTTCATGAAGCCGAAATTAAAGATGGCTGACAGGAACACCATGAACATGATAGCACTTAGGATCCAGAAGGGGCTGAAGTTGAGGAGCAGAGCTGAGGTGCCAGCAATCATCTGTGAAAGACAAAATTATGAAATGAAATTGGCTGGAACCATTGACGAGTACTTAGATGATATAGTTTTGAAATAATGATTATGATGGAATTACTGCACGGTTCTGACCTGAAAGCCCTCATACCATTTATTTGAGATTAAGGCAACGAGTATTATAATAAATAATTTAACAAAATTGATTATCGCGCACATGTGACGGAACACTTTTCATAGGAAATAAAGACGGAAAGAAAGAAAAGAAATAAAATTATTTCTTTGGCACACAAAAAACAGTGCAGAAAATCTATTAAAGAAAGAATTAAAACAATAATAATGAAAAAACACTGCTTGTCTCGCGGCTACGCCAAATAGGTTCATAAATGTAAAATTTTTAAGAACTTTATTTTGTAGAATTTATGGAAAAAAAGTAGCTTTGTAAGTGATAAAAACCCAGATAGATTTACAAATGTAACATTTTAAACTTTTGGTTAAATCTATCTACTGATGGAAATTTTATCAGCATTAATATGGAATTTACCTGTATGCCGATGACCAGTCGTTTCCTGCCGATACAGTTAATGATGCTGCTCATGAAGAGGTTGCCAAAAGCCAGAAACATTGTGATACCGAAGACCAAGGTCATAGCTTCCGTGTTCATTGAACAGTCTTGTGTCTAGAAAATAAGTATTCCATTATCAGAGATCTAAGTTTATTCATGAAAACCTAAAATATTTCATAAGGGCTGTTGATACTGTAACTATTAAAAGTAAGCAATAATACATACTTTTTGTAGATCAAAATTATGAACTTGACGTTGTGCTTCTCAAAACTCTAAACATTAACCACCTTTTTGGCAGTTTTTACCAATTAAACGTAAAATTATATTTCGCTCTCTGTGTACTAAGAACAAATAACAATGTTTTTGAGCTACTTCAGTAAAGTAGACAATCCTAATTAAATACTTAAGAAAGTATCCGACATTACCAACCTCGATAGTCGCTGTGGAGTTGAGTGAGTGAGTTAATCTGATCATCTCACAAATGGTCAGATCTTTCTGCCCAGCCACTACAGATGTCATGAACGCATTCAAGATGAATGGCAGCCATACGAAGAAAGAGTTCATTCTGAAAAATAATACAAGAAGACTAATATTGATATTTTTCTAAAAACTGCAAAGAAATGTCTACCAAGATAACCTAAACTTGTATCACATCTATGGTTCTAGCTAGATAATCAGACGTAAAACACCACGTGCGCTAAGTTTTGCCATATGATTATGGAAGGCTTAAACCTCCAACCCCAAAACCCTCAAATACTCAAACATGTAAACCTATGACCAACGTCTGCACGAACTTGGCCTCACCACTCTTGAAAAGCGGAGACAGAGAGGAAACCTTATTGAGACTTACAAAATAATGAGTGACTGCTACAACGTTCCTGGACTTAAGAATATGTATCTTCTTAATAAAAATCGAAATTTGAGAGGACACTCATTAAAACTATGCAGAACATCCTCAAAACTGAATCCCTTGACATACTTCCTACCTAATAGGGTGGTCACGGAATGGAATAAACTCCCAGAAAATCTGATAAAAGCACCCACAGTTAATTCTTTTAAAAACAGACTCGACAAAATCTCCAAATCCATTAATACGCACGCATCAGCTTTCTAAGCTGCTAGTGTGTTCAAGTATATAATAATAATAATGTAACCACCCTAAGTCTCCAAATTCTGGTTACGCACTTGCAATTGCAATGGCTGACCGTAAGGTGGAACAAAACACAGTTAAGTACAAAATAAAAATTAAGATATTGTTTTAAACCTGTAGATAATCATGCATTAAATGTCCACAGAAGAAGAGATCGCGAGAATGCGAAATTGGAACACTTGGGATTTGAGATTGATAAGTTATCTGACGACATCCGCAGGGTGGCTGGCAGTAGTTGAATGAGAAGAGCTGAACATCGAGCTTAGTGGCATGCAATTGGGGAGGCCTATGTCCAGCAGTGGACGACATCAGGCTTATGATGATGATGAAGTTATCTCATATACTTACGTAATATAAGTGATGACGAAGAGGAATGAGAGTAGAATAGTATGCTTCAGTAAGGGTGGTTTGATCATTGGCACCGTCTGCGCCACAATGGACCCCCAGAAACCTTTATGAAGAGCTGATGACTGTTCCTCGTCTAGATCTAAGGCATCCACCTATAAAAGGACATTATTTCACTTTTAGTAAGCAACATGGTTGTTTTCATTCATCAAACCCCAAACGTACGCCGGCGTTCATGTTCCTATTGTTCTTCTAGTGTGTCTCAAATTAAAAAGATAGAAAGGTTTTTTTTTTCTTTAAAAAATACAATGCTTGCCTTTATTATTTCCTCGTGTGTTGGAGTGTGTTTGCAAACTTACATACAATTTCACATACATTTTCGCACACCTTGACCCAGAAATACAATTTGTGGATCAGACAAAGACTTGTTCGGCGGGGGAATCGAACACCCGACACTTTCTGCGGCAGCGGGGCAGTCCAAGATTCATTTCGGGGACTTTTTTTGAGGGAGAAATCATTCACTGTTCTCTCCCGGTTTTGCGAATTGGACAAAATCTACGGAAATATCCCCTAAGGAATTAATTACATTTAATTAAAAACACGGATTTTTGAGCTACTCATATTCCCTATTATTTGTGTATATTCTTTTATGACTAACCTTATAATTATCAGCACTTTTTCCAGTATTCATGGTGTAGATTCCTCTTAAAACTGCCAAAGCATCTTCATCCCTGCCTACGCTAGCCAAGTATTTAGGACTCTCATAGGCAAAGTAGCTTCCAATGATGCTGAGGGCACTAGGCACTGCGAAGATCAGGTTCAGAACTCTCCAAGAATTGAATTGGATATCCAAGAATGGAATGTGATGAGAGAAGCTCATTGGAAGAACTGGTATTGCTATCACTGAAAATAAGTAAAGGTCAATTATGAAGATTAATTAAAAAAACAACTACTTTTTATGACTTTTAATCACATTACACATCACATCATCAGTCAACAAGTTCCCACTGCTAAGCAACACGGAGAAGGTTTGAACATTAATGACCACGCTTAATCAAGGCGGATTAGCGATATTAAACTTATAATTAGATATTTTAAGTCTAGGTTTCACGACATTTTCCTTCATCGTGTGTCAGTGGTGTCTAAATAATCATATTTCTATGACACGGAAAAAGTGACATTGGTAATGGCCAGGTTTGAAACCCGCACCCTCATGTATGAGGAGCGGTCGTTTTAAACTCCCGATCACCACGACAATTTTGATTGGTTATTTGCAAAATATTTGTGCAGTGCTAATCAAAAACCAATAGAAGTTCTTAAGTACATTTTCGTTAATTATTTCTGCTAAAATGGATTTACAAAGGCCAGAGCTAGACTGGCCAAGACATCTGAATCCCCAAAGAAGACAATGAAAGAAAGAGAAAAAACAAATGACTTAAAATCGGTTTACCTGCCATAACTCCCATAGCCGCCATGTGGACGCTGGTGGTCAATAAGACAAGAGAACTTCTTCGGACCATGGGAGTACATTCGCTGAGCAGCGTCACAGCTAATGCGTAGGAACCCGACACTCTGTGAATAAAAAGGAGAAGAGGACGTGATTTGTATAGAAATAAAAAAATATGTAAAGAAGAATCATTTTTGTTAATACTATTCAAGTACAATCATTTACAACAATTACAACCGGCTTGATGGTTGCAGTAGAAAATGCACCGTTCGTTTTTTTTTCTCTAAAAGGCAACTTCTTCAATACAAGCGTCAAGGGCCAAGTGATGACAAGTGATGGCAAGTCAATTGAATGAAGCCGGGTTTGCAGGGCTGGCGCAATAAGGTATCACAGCCTCGGCCTAAAGCAGGGGAAGGACCGCAGGGGTTTTTAGTCAGTAAGCTCTAAGCTCTAGCCCTAGGCAACAGAAACCAATGATTTTCACAAAAAAGGTCGTTTTAAATGAGGTTACCGGAGGCCCAATACTTACCCTTCCCAAAACTTCTTCCTTGAATCCCAAAACTCCTTATCCCTTATCCCCAGAATGCCGACAACACACTTTCAACTAGACTGGTGTTGCGGGTATCCATGGGCGGACGCCGATTGCTTACCATCAGGTAATCCGCCTGCTTGTATACCGGTATCGCATAAGAAATAAACGTTGGTTACTTCATTCAAATCTCGAACAGAAGATACTCACGAGGCTGAAGACATGAGTTTTAGAAAACCTAAAACTATCCAGTTAGGTGAGAAGGCGGCTAAGGTCCCAGCAATGTAGGTGATCGTCATAGATACTATGAGGATCTTCCGACGGCCCCTCGTGTCTGCCAGGTAACCCCAGACATGGGACATGGCGATTGTACCTGAAGAAAAAACGTGCTTTAAGGCTTAAGTTAAATTAATAAAATTTCTGTCTTAAACTTTAGCTGAATATGGAAGAAATGAATAACGGAGAAGTTTTAGGGTGGGACTAGCTTCCCGCTTTCCGCAGCTTTGCCTGTGTGGTATGCTGGCTTATCCAATGTATCTCCTATCTAAATACCAATTTTTTATCAAATCAATTCAACCGTTTTTGTGTAAAAGGATTACAAACATACATCCATACTTCTCACTTCATACTCCATATTTTCTCACAAACTTTTACAATTATAATATTAGCAGGACTCAAAGGTTTAAGTAAACTTGAACTAAGTACATATTTTTAATTAAAATAATTATTTTTCTCTTAAAAAAACACTACAGTTACCAATCAAAGGGACACACGCCACCAGGCCTTGCTGTGTGCTCGTGGTGTTCAGCTCACAAGCACTAGCTGGTACCAGATAGGAGATGGAGAAGATCTCGAAGGTCATTCCAATGATAATGCTGGCACTTAGCATGAAGGTGTACAGGTTGTAGCGACTGAACCCTGGAAGAGATAAATTGTAAGTATTGATATCATTTCATATCATATCATCAGCCAATATATGGCTGAACGCACCCACAACACAGGAGAAAATCCTAGAGTGGACGGGGCAACGTCTTTTTTTTAATCCATATTATAAGTCTAGCAGTGTGATTCTGTAAGACTTCATTCTAAACTTCAAATCTGAATCCGCGCTGAGTAGTAGTACACTAGCGCTACACTTGCGAGTTGAAGTAAACTGACAGCATCATTTTGAAAGATAAAGTATGAAATGACGTTAAAAATGACATTCAAAAATTTAATTTCCCCGTCACTTCGACGCTCACTTCGCACTGACGTGCAGGTTTCCTCACGATGTCTTCTTTAACCATGTATTTCAGTGGTGTAGAAAGTACATATTGTAACTCGGAAAATATTATGCACGAGAAACCGACGCCTTAAAATCAGCAGCAAAAAAATAAGAGAATATCTTCTTTGTCCAAATTCGTAGCTTTATAGCTATTTACTCAGTATGTTGCAATTGCTAAAGGTGTCACAAATGTTATAAGTCTTGATGTTACAACTGTCCCGTGAACGTCCAATCTGAAGTTCATTCTCGGTATTCGACCAATAAGGGGCTTGTTTAATATTGAGGAGAACCAATAGCTAAAATCAAGAAGCCAACTTCAGGCTATTATTAAAAACAAAAATTGTAACAGAAACATTGTCAAAAAATATTATCAAACTACTGAATACATTTTGATAGGACTTCGAAACTTCCACTCAAACAGAAATTCTATTTACACATTTACACAAATAAAAATGCAAAATCATAACTACTCATTAGAAATAATGGCGCAAGATTCTAAAACGTGATGTAAGGAAACATCTGCCTCAATGTACATAGTATCATGTACATAAACATTTATATAACAATAGATTTACATACACAGTCAAACCATGACATTGTTATCTACCCTATGTTTGTTTCTGATAAGCTTTGCAAATTTATCAATGGCTTTATAGCGTTTTAAATTAAACAAGTATCTTCAATTATGTAAATAACATTTCTTCATCACAATTTGCTTCATATCATGTATGTAAATAAGTATATAAATTTAAGTAAATTTGTTTTATTTGTTGCGCGTTATAACAGAAAAGTTTGTAATTGTGTGACGTGTGATTACACGCTATATTTACTCGACTGCGTGCAAAGGAGGGTTATGTATTGTGTTTACGTAGTTGTGATGTTCGCGTGATTGCAGGTGTAACTGCTGCAAAAGGGTTTTTTAGTCAAATAAAGTATCACAAAATAATCACATGGGAACCAAATGTAGTAAATAGACATAGTCTTCTATGTAATGGCGTTCAGAAAATAAGAACATCTATCGTATGTAAGTAACCCTGCCTAAAGATTTCAAGATATAAAGGAGTCCACGAGTTTAAAATGGCTTTTTTATTATATTTAATAACTTACTCACAAAAATTTTGACGAGATATCTCGACTAGTTTGAAGGATTTGAACACGAAAATAACGATCATCCTACGTCAGTACAAGGCGTTTGGGCTGTGGAGAATGCTGCTGGAGAATCTGATGTGGATATCAATCATATCGTGCAAGAATGGGAGGACTACTGTAGATACCTTTTCACTGACATCATAATGCTGCAGACGCTACAGTCAGTTGTGTACAGTCAATTTGGACTCGCTATAAACTGCAAGAAAATGAAAATGATGATTGTGGATTGCAAAACCGATAACAGACCTGGGGTCAACAGCATAGATAACTGTGAAGTTATTCTACCATTAACAACACTGCGAGTTGTGAGGAGGAGATACAAAGGCGATGTGCTGTAACACGTTCAGCCGTAGAAAAACCCAGGAAGATTTAGAAAGAAAGGCAAACATAACCAAAAATACATATAATAAATACCGAGATTCGACTGATGCATCATGTCCATCTTTCTCTAGGGGACATGGACGATTCGTCAAAGGGATCGCGGCAGAATGGATGCGTTGGAAATGCGGTGCTGGAGAAGACTACTGTATCCAGTGTATCCACATTATTAGAGATTCGCATCAAACAAAGAGTTTCTTCGATTATGCAAGCAAGAACTCTTAAAATGTTTGGTCATAACATCCAAAACGAAGACTCAATGGAACGATTCGTGGTGCAAGGAAGAATAGAAAATCAGCGTCTTCGTGGTCGGTCACCAACTAGAAGACGGACTAATAAAATCAGTGACGTCCAGCTCAATAGTGGAGTGCGCGAGGAATGCCACTAACAGCAAAAAGTGCGGTGTTATATTACCCCATTTTTTGAGATGGACATCAAACTCATTTAATGACTTCTCTCGCCCTGGATGAGACGAGACGAGTACTTAACTGCACTTGCCCCGCAACCCCGGCTAAACATCGGCCCTGTAGGGTTCCGTCTGTTGGTCTATTGGCTCTATGAGACGCGCCTGTAACGCTACGCGACTTAAACTCGGGTCTGTTTCTGCTAAGGCGGCAAGCTACTCTTGCACGCCGTCCATAAACCCGCGTTGTGCTATATTGCCCCTTGAATCTAGCCTAACTTTTTGATTATTTTTTTGTACTATCAACTATATTAATATGCAATTAAAATTGGTTTACTAAGTAAGGCTTAAATAAGCATAAACAGAAACATTTAGTTTCGCATTTTCAGGGTGCACAACTGTTATCAGACTGTTTTTGAGGAGCTGAATCCATAATAATATACTTAGTTAAATTACGGTAGTAACACGTTAGGTAGTAGCAATTAGTATCTTCATAAGCGCTGCACTGTACGCAGGTATGTATTTTATTGTTAAGTAGATAAAATTAAAGTAACAAATCTTGATCACATCTTTTTGGCTTTCAGCTGAAAGTAAATGTTACTCAAACATATTTCTTCTTCCTTAGGTATGTTGACAAAATTGAAATATGCGGTTGTACAACCGAATATTTCACACAGCAAACGATTGTCCACCCAAGGATACGGTCAATTTAATCTATACTATATAATATAACGAATTTTAGAGTTTATCTGTTTGTTTGAACGCGCTAGTCTCTAGAACTACAGGTTCGAATTGAACAATTCTTTTTTGTTAGAGTGTGAGTTCAAAACCTGGGAAGTACCAATGTGACTTTTTCCGAGTTATATGTACTTTCTATGATTAGACACTAAGGTGAAGGTAAACATCGAGAGGAAACTTGGACTTATAATTTTTAATTATAAGTTTGAAATTGAAATCGCCAACCCGCATTGAGAAAGCGTGATGATTAATGTTCTAACCTTCTCCGTACGAGAAGAGGCCTTTGCTCAGCAGTGGGCACTTATAGGATGATGATGATATACATCGAGGAACGCTATAGGCTTAAATCATCACGATCTGTAGGAGCAGCGGGTGAAACTGCGCGAAAGCAGCTAGTTTAAAAAGAAAGTGAGCCATTATAACATTGAAATGTTGAATCATTGACCCAACATTGAATAAGATTCATATAAAGTTTTTAATCAAATCATATACATAATGTGCTTAATTAATAAAGCAGATAAGCGAAACAGTTATAGTAAACAACGTTCCTTACATATTTTTATCTCATGCTCTATAATGTCGAATAACATGTGATATGAATATACAATTATAATAATCATAACAAAGAGGTTTTAATGAAGAGGACAGACATAGCATGACTATAGTGAATTGCTTATCTTTTATAAAGCAATTAAATATGAAATCTTTATAATTATGTCATGTCTGGGTGCTGGCCAAAAGAGTGGAAATGTTCTGATTCTGACACTCATTATAAATAGTTGCCACGGTCCCCCAATTTGTTACATCTATACTAATATTAAAAACTACGTTTAAAAAAACCGACTTCAAAAACAAAAAAGTGTCAAATAAGTAATTAAAATTGATATTTTAATAGCACTCTTACGTACGCGAAGCTAATACTTTTAATATTAATAATAAAATACTATCAATTCTATGTGCTACCTATTCATAGGTTTGAAGTCGGTGCCAAGCCTAATACATAATATTATAAGCATGATTACATGAGTACCTAAACTCGCCGGGCGCGTTTGAATTTATTTGTTAGGATTTAAGAAATTTAGTACCGATTTTCTAACTTGATGGCGTTAGCGTAGAATCAGAAGACTATATGGTTTCGTTACCGGCGAAACTGTATATAGCTTAGAAAGATATTTGGATGAATTATGAATTCTGAAAGTTTTCTCGTACTTGGTTGTTAAAAATAGTTGTAGGTAGCGGCGTTGTTAGTTGTGGAAATTTCGTCTTTTAGCAGTTAAACAGTCTTAATTCTCATTTAGTTTTATTCTGTTCAGGGCTTGGCACCGACTTCAAACCTATGAATAGGTAGCACATAGAATTGATAGTGTTTTATTATTAATATTAAAAGTATTAGCTTCGCGTACGTAAGAGTGCTATTAAAATATCAATTTTAATTACTTATTTGACACTTTTCTGTCTTTGAAGTCGGTTTTTTTAAACGTAGTTTTTTTTTATTTTTTTCTATTTAGTGTCTGTTGCAAGTTCTTCTGTAAACTACAGTTATATTTTAAATATAAATTAACATATTGAATAGTATATATTTTTAAGTAGCTATGTGTAGGCCAACGAAAGGAGCCGCCCGATTAAAAAATATAGATCCCAAGAAATGGGAAAGTTCTCATCATCATCATCATCAGCCATTTTAATGTTCCCACTACTGGGACACAGGCTATCTCTCTAGGAGAGGGAAAGTTTTTAACAATATAAATAAATTAAGTCCAAACACGAGGTAGCTACTGTAAACCGTTGAGGAGTTCCCTAGACTGTCGTTCGTCTTCATCATCAGATCCCTAATGACAGTCACAATCCATCAAGGTGTAAAGTTCTCATCAAAACGAATAAATTAAGCTCAAACACAATGAAGCTACTATGAATCGTTGAGGAGTTCTCTCGACTGTCTCTCGTTTCCATTCGGAATCCCCTCGACGGTCAATTGTCTCCATCATCAGGTAAACTGCAGATCTTCAGTTGTTATGATACATACCTACAGGTACAAAGTTTTTATCAATATAAATGAATTAAGTTCAAACACGAAGTAGTTACTGTAAACCGTTCAGGAGTTCCCTGAGCTGTCCTTCGTTCTCATCATCAGACCCTTAATGACAGTTACGACCAAGCCTGCTGCAAAGTGCTCGCCAATACGAATCATTCAAGCCCAAACACAAGGCAATTACTCCAAATAGTCAAGGAGATCCCTCGACTGTCTTCCAGCTCCAACATCTGGTCGACTTCGACCTTCGTCAAGTTGTAGTGTTGTTAAAGGCCTACTTAAACATCATACAAAAAACCTACTCGCTCCTACAATTTTCGAAAGTTCCCCTCGGTTTCTCCAGGATTCCATCATCAGATCCTGACCTCATGACAATGGGACCAAATGGCAAGTATACCCTATCGAATAAAAAAAGAATTTTGCAAATCGGTCCAGGCGTCTTCGAGTTATCGGTGTGCATACATAAAAAAAAAAAATACGCGTCGAATTGAGAACCTCCTCCTTTTTTGAAGTCGGTTAAAAAGATGTAAAATTTGTAACTTTTTTGTAGGGGTCTTTAATTAGAACCGTTGGTCGAATTCCAAATTTTTTTACTGATAGCTACAATGTCTGAGCACTATACGTATTGATTTGCGTATTATAGTCGAGCTAACGCTTTAAACGCTGCTGTTTTTAAAATCCCGGGATTCACAACTCTTATCAGCCGACTACAAAAACTCCAAGTGTAGGGCAGCAATTATTGAAAGAAAAATGATTTGAAAAAGAACCTGCAGACGAATTTCAGAAAAATATTACAGAAGAACTCCATTATAGGAAATTTCAGATAATCAAATGTATCTGAATCTTATTTCATGATGTTTGTTTCCTATTACGGGATTACAGGATCCCGGACCTTTGGAAGGCGTACGAAGGGCCGAAGCAAACTCTCAGAGACCCATTGAACAACCTTAATATACCTAAGTGAAATGGGACATCAGCCGGCAATCATCCATGTAAGCACTATAAAAGTGCACCCAAAGTGTATGTGAATTTGTATATTTGTAAACGCATCCACGACACAGGAAAAAATCGTAGTGTGGGGCAACGTTTAAAAAAAATTGATAAATCCTTTTAATTAGAGAAGCCTTCGTAAATCAGATAACACGTAGGGGTTGGTGACGACGATTTATTTTAATGTTCCCAAACACGATGTATCTGCTATAAGTCGATGAGGAGTTCGGTATCCTACATTAGTGATACTGAACATCAGATCAAGGTTGCCATATTTTGAATCAATCATACCTACGTTATGGAAGTTTCTTAAAATTATTTCATTGGTTTCAGTTATTATATTTTCAAGGTGACCTGGTGTTTGAACATTCTTTTGAGTTTCACAGGAAAATTATCAATTGGCTTCTTCCACCCTGGACGGGGTGAGAGGGAGTATCAAACCGTTACTGGTTAAAACCACCCCGTTTGTTCTGCTCCGGGCCAGGGCCACAGTACATTTGCATTTTCACCCGCAGGCCTGGCTGGATACCAACTCTAATGGGTCCCGTCAGTGTCGGTCTAATGGCTCACGCTCGATTTGAGAAATTACGTAGGACATTACTTACTAATAATGGGCTAACCCTAAGACGCTATATTGTCCAAAATGTTAGATGTTTTTGTATGATATGACGGCAATCAAAACTGGTGATAAGGAGACAACATAGGAGTTACGAGTGCGTTGCCGAGCTTTTGGGGATTAGGGATTTGGAGAATTAGGGAGGGATTAGGCGAGAGGAATGATTGGGCCTCCGGTAATCTCACTGACACGGCGAAGCACAACGCTATGGTTGTTTCACGCCGGTTTTCTATGCGGCCGTGGTATCACTCCGGTCGAGCCGACCCAATCGTGCCAAAGCATGGCTCTCTCACACTTTTTTCATACCTGTCATGTTCAGTGCCTCCTCAAACGGCACCCTGTTAGTTTTGACTGTCATTTTCACTATTTACACTAACTAATTTAAATAATACTAAATTACTAATTACAATAAAAACAACTTAAATGAATGTTAAAGTTAGCAAAACATTATCTTACTGGCATCTTCGCTGCCACTGAGACAATCACAGTAATGTTCTTATTTTATATGTAATAAAAGCTATAAGGCAGCCAGTTCCATTCCGTTTTGATATTGGGTTCCGTACCAATTAATAAAAAATACATTTATGTCTCGAATGAAATTGTTTATTAATTTTAAATGTAAGGCTTATCCTATCTAGTTTCCGAAATCACCGCGCAGCGCAGGTCGCTCACGTATTTTTTTCAAAGTCAAAAGTCAAAAATCATTTATTCCAATTAGACCTTCACAGGCACTTTTGAACGTCAAACAAAATTTTGAAGATATAGTGTCAGTCTGTCGGTCAGTCCTCTTAGTGAAGCTATTTGCTCGTTCCAAAGTGTAGATTCCGATGGAGAAGAACGAGCAAGAAATTCCATGGTTACTTTTTTTACATCAGTTTCACATACAAACTCCTTGTCATACATAGGTCTTCCAACGAGCAGATGGATTACCTATGGCACTTGTAGATCCAAAGAAGTTACTACAAGTACTTTGCCTCTTGTGTATTATTAGGGATTTAATTAAGGATATGAGATTTGAGGATTCTGGATGGGTAGGGGGAGGGATTGGAAGTCCGGTAACCTCACTCACATGGCGAAATTCAACGTAAATGTCGCTTCACACCGGTTTTCTGTGAGACTGGTATCACTCCGGTTGAGCCAAGCCATTCGTGCCGAAGTATGGCTCTCCTACACGTACCTACACCATCACTTGTGCCATGTGAGTGAGGTTACCAGAGGCCCAAACTTCCCCCTTCTTCTCATCAATCCTTAACCCCTAAAAATTGCAAAAAAACCGATTGCTTACTATCGCATGACCTGGACGTTCGTTTGAATTCCTGTAGGAAAAAAAAAAGTTTTAGGTTGTGTAAGAATCTATTATTATTGTATCCACCAAAACTTCCAAATGAGCTTCAATTTGACATATACCTACATTATTATATTTACACTGATCTACGGTACACTGCGGAATCATTAAAAAAATGACCAAAATATGGAATACCAAAAAGTGGGAAATCAAATTTTCATACCCGTACACAATTGCAAATAAAAACTAGTTTAGATCCTCAAGTAAAATGATACGGAACCACAATTATCCAAGATGTCACTATCAGACGATAGCGCAGTTTAATGTAAACACATATTTACATCAGGATGAACAAAATGTAATCATTTTATTTTAGTAGATAGTGCCGACTATTTATACAATACGTACTCTGAATATAACTATGATATCAATATTATATAGGTAATCCCAATAGTTTTCCATTCACACAATGACAAGCAATTTCTTTACTAATGTTACTGCGTACCACAAAATCTCCAATCACCAAGAATTACGAGAACATTTTCGAAATGTTCTTCTAAATGGACAATATTTTCTGCAATTTGCGAGTACACTGTTGTACTGCTTAACGTCTGTGACCGGAAAAGGGAATAGGAAAGACCTCGTGGTAGCAACCTTTGAGTCTAACGTGTTGGTCCAATCTGACTCAAAGCCACCCAAGACCCTAGATACGGCGATAAAGTGTTAAATTCTAAGTGACTTAAAACCACTATCTTCTTCCTTCTACTCCGAGCGAGGTTGGGGTACATCATTAGCCCCTTCCGAGGAGACATTCACTCGGGTCTGCTACTGGTCGAGCGATGTTGAGCTGACCACAGACCCGAGCTTACGATGGCCGGAGATCGTCAAGCTGTTTCCGACGCCCGGAGTGTCTCCTGATTAGGATGACTGAGAAGAAGAGGGTTAATCGCAATTGTATGCACCGTCGTGTCCTCCGGCCGTTTCTTAAAATTGAAAACGAAACCAGTACAAACCAAAACTTTCGTTTCTTAAGCGCATGAGCCAAGCAGAAGATGAGGACGCCATGACGCCTCTGAAGCCACTTCTCAAAGAGAGGTACTGCTGTGATAACAGCGCCCGAGACATCACTCTGGATTGTTATCCCCAACGGCCTCCATATCGCCACAATTAGAAATGGATGGATAAAAACCGAGCTTGAAAGTGATACAGAAGGACTAAGCTTAGCACTGAAGGGAGCGAAGCAAAGGGAAGGAGGAGAAAGCGTATACAACAAATGGAAATATTGTAAACATCGTAATCTAAGTAGTTACGTAGTGAGGAGTTTCTTACTCGTTCTTCTCCATCGGAAACTACACTTTGGAACGAGCAAATAGCTTCACTAAGAGGACTGACCGACAGACTGACTGTATTTGTATATTCAAAATTTTGTTTGACGTTCAAAAGTGCCTGTAATTCCTAATTGGAATAAATTTTAATGATTTTTGACTTTCGACTAACATTATCAATTAGCGCAAAAAAAAATGATTTTGTTGTACCTATGGTCATTCGTTGAAAATGTGACTGGAACTCATTTAGATCGTAGATATTTAAACCCGGAAAAATATATTTAGACAAAGTACCCAATAAGTTAGTACACACACAAAGTATGTTGCTACTTGTGTAGCTACTAGTTAGTGTGTGCGGATACACAGTCACAAGTTGACATAAATATTGTGTAACTATTACTGTAATATTTGTAGGAATTACATCATGTACTGCAGTACGGCTCGGAGTAGGAGAAAGAACCAGGCGGTCGGTAAGAGTCTGTATCAATTTTAAACACAAAAATTCAATAAGTACCGTTTTCGAAACTTTTTTTTCATTGAAGAATAGACATTTTTATATAAATATTTGCTATTAACCACTGCAAAACCTTCTTTACTATTCAACAACAACTAACATTTAGGACTATGTGTCATCATCATGGTGATGGTTTGTCGTGCTGGCTCGGAGGTCAAGGAGCCCGCTTGTCATGCATGAGGGCGTGGGTTCGAAACCTAGCAAGGACCAATGTGACTTTTTCCGAGTTATGTGTACTTTCTATGATTATTTAGACACCTCTGACATACGGTGAAGGTAAACATCGTAAGGAAACTTGGACTTATAATTTCTAATTATAAGTTTGAAATCGCCAACCCGCATTGAGCAAGCGTGGTGATTAATGCTCAAACCTTCTCTGTGTCAGAAGAGACCTTTGCTCAGCAGTGGGCACTTATGGGCTGATGATATGTGATGTGTGTCATCAACAATGTAGGAATTTGTTAATTCATACAATTATTGTTCCATTCGATACTTAACTTCTCTTCTTAGGAACTTAAGTCCTATTTAAATAGGATTTATGGTGTGTGCAGCAAATCACAGGATAATGTAAAATAACTAATGTACTTAAGGATTGAGGAGCCACATCAGACTTTTCCAATCTTATTTTACCAATATTAAGCAGCAACGTAGAGTAGGTATTTTGCAGCACGAATTCTGGATTTATATAGTAACCTTGAACTGCAACTGATGATGACTTCAGACTTCCCGGCAGCCTATAGATACCAGTGTAGGTTTGTCAGTAGAGTTTTGACAAGTATGCATTTGTTTAGCAGACGTTGGAAGGGTTCCGGCTTGTGATAATGACCCTGAAATTAAATATTAAATTGCCAAACCTGGATATTAAACCTACGAATTTCTTCATCAAACAATGCAGTTAGAACTAATTAAAAAACAGTATAATCAAACTTATGTTCCATTTGAGGCGGTGGCTGGGCAACCGGGTGGTGAAACGTGTCGTAGGTTCGACTCCCGCACGGAATTCTCTTTGTATGATCCACGAATTGGAATGCGAAAGAAGAGAGACAGACAGAAACGCCTGTTGATATAATGGTAGCAAAATGTACCGCTTTCACTCCCGTTTTGGTAACATTTTTTGTTAGTGCCTATGACATTATTTTGTGACATATTAGCCTATGTCGGATTTAAGCTCAGACCAATGAAACCTATGGACTACTAGTAAGCCGTCAATCGTATACAATGAAGTTGCGGCCAGTCCGCCATTTGCAAATCCAGTTTGTCGTGGTAGATGAGCTGTCAGTGCGTCAGTATCTGTGAAAGATTTTTTGGATTATTTTTGTTTTTCGTTTGATATAAGTGACAATTTTTATTTATAAGAACGTAAAAAGTGTCAACAAACATGCCAAAGTGCAGTATTATAGCATGTGGCAGGAAACCATCAAAGGAACAGCCAAATATAACATTACATCGGTATGTACTTAGTATTGTAGTGAAATATGCTTGATTTTAGACGAACAGTCAACTTTTTCTGTACAGGTATTGACATATGGACAAAATCTGTGGAAATGTACTTGATTTTAATTAATTTTTCTATTATTTCACATAAAACTTTGCTTAAATCATTTTGTTGGGCAAGTACAATAGTGTTGTGACGGTTATATCGACAATTACATCGACATCGTCATCGATCAAGATAGTTTTTGTACATAAATCATTTAGTAGCTTTGTCATCAACTGTGCGTTTACATATTCTAAATATTTTTGTTACTATAATAAATTAGGTGCATATTATATCCAACCATAACCTCTGCATCTTTCTACTTTTTAGTTTGCCTGTTATTGCTGATAAACGAAATTCATGGCTTGATATTATCGGTGTGGAAAATATTGACATGACCAAAAAATATACTTTTATTTGTTCACTTCATTTTGATCCGTCATGTTTCAACCGAACCATGAATATTGTAAAACTACGTGATGATGCTCTGCCTTCAAGAAGTTTATTGGTAATTGTTTCATGATTATTATAGTACCTATTTTTTATATACCTACATACTATTATTATCTCTCACAGCAAGATCACTCATATTTCAATAAGACCTTATATTATAATTATAAATGTGAAAGTGTGTATGGATGGATGGATGCTTGTTGATGAAAAAAAATAACTGTCAAATTATATTACCTTTACCATCTACATAAAACAATTTACATGAATATTTAATAATTAATACCCATAAATAATATTTACTACTTTTTATTCTGTTTCAGCCAACGGTCAGAGACAAAGCCGCTGCTGCTTTATCAGTAATTGATCAAAACAAAGTTGCTGTTGTCAGGACCCATAATTATAATTGTATTATAATTGTAATCATCGACCATATTATATCGACCATATTATAATTGTAATCATCGACATCGACAGCCTTATAAATGTATCCACTGCTGGAGCACAGGCCTACCCTCATTCGAAGGTGAATGGGTCGTGATCCACCGCGCTGACCCAGTGCGTATTGGTGGATATCACAAGTCCTCAAACTTGCTAGGTTCTTGGACATACTGGTTTCCTCACGATGTTTTCCTTCATCGTCGAATCAGTAGCAATTTTTCCTAAGTAAATAAACGGACTTAAATATCATTGGTCCGTGCCCGGTTCGAACATAGGCCTCCCGCATGAGAGGCGAACGCTCTGACCACTAGGCTACCACTTTTTGTAATTTTGTATAATTGTAATTAACTGTAACTTTGTATAATTGTAATCAATATGTATTATTTTTAAGAACCTGACCGTGTATTTACGTTTACTAAAAATATACCTAATATTACCATAACTTCCTTTGTAGTTTTATTGAAAATATGCATTTCTGCACCATAGATATACAGTCTGTCTGTCTGTGAAAAAAATGACAATATTTTTCCCCCACGGTTTTTGCACACTCTCGGCACAGCAGATTACTGAGCTCTCAGGTTCAGTATCTATGGCGGGAAGATGTTGGGGTCTGAACTGAACACGGTCAGTGGGTTTAGTTTCTGTTTCCATAAGGGTTGCCATCCCACTCGATAGTGCACTAATAATATCGATATTTTACGAATAAATAGGTATAATATCCATAGATTCTTTTTGCAATAATGATGGCGATTCGAAATTGTGCAAAATTGAACTAGTTATGACGAATTTAAAATATTGTCTTCCCTTTTACTCTTAATTACTTTGAAGGCGACATCAAAATAAGGAATCTAATCCATTCTCATATAAGCAATTTTCCTCGGAAATAAATAAAAATACGGCCTCTCCTAGAAAATTGGCAGCTGAGTCTTGAATTTTGTTTGAAGAGACCAAAAATGTTTTTTCATTTCCGAGAAAAAATTCTTAATGGGGGTTGCTAAGAATGGATGATGGTCTGAGCCCATGGTTTCAGTTTTCGGAAGGCTGTCCCTTACACCCCGTATGGTACTTAGAAGAAATAGTATCACAAACCTTGACGACGAGAAAACTATCGATATTATTGTTCTCACTCAACATTACATAAATACAAATATCAAAAGTTTACTGTTTAGGAAGTTTTGAATTGCGATTATTACCGTTATTTCAATACGATATTGGTTGCATAAATATTATTCAGGCCTTAAGACAACAAAGGTAAACAACTTTTATTTGATTAAAATTCACTTTTCGATACCTATCGTCGATAGGCTATCGATAAAACTCATCTTATTTAAAGCCCCTCCCTAGAAAAATCCGCCATTACTCGACACGGTATACTTTAGGTAGGCACGCTTTTTTTGTAGGTATTTCTCGTCCATAGGTTTCATTGGTCTGAGGATTTAAGACTATGGGTGTACCAAATATCATTACAATCGATTTTGGCTCAAAAGCTGGACAGGCAGCCAGAGTTACTTTGCATTTCTAATTACTAATATTTATAATATATCTATACTAATTTTATAAAGAGGTAAAATTTGTAAGTTTGTATGTAGGGGGTAATCTTTGGAACCGCTGGTTGGATTTCCAAAATTCTTTCACTGGTAGATAGCTACAATGTTCCTAAGTGCTATAGGCTATAAAACATCACGCTACGACTAAATGGAGCAGCGGGTGAAACCGCGCGAGAGAAGTTATTTATTTATATGAAGAACTTAAATAATAATAAACGTGTTCTAGATTGGAGACCACGTCTAGGCAAACGTAGTGTAGGGCGCCCTCCAGCTAGGTGGACTGACGATATCCGCAGGGTGGCTGGCAGTGGTTGGATGAGAAGAGCTGAACATCGAGCTCAGTGGCGTGCAATAATATAATTATAAAAATATGTAAGTATGGAAGTATGAAAATAAGATAATATTCTGTGGAATGAATCTTTCTGTGTGTTTGGAATCTTATCTAAAAATCTTTTTAAAAACCTTACAAAGAAAGGTCGTATCACCATAACAGGTCATTGCACTATTGTATCATATTATTGTTTTAGGGTTTAAAAGAGGATAGAAATTTAATTATAAGCTTAATGAGTATATTTTCAGGTACGTAAGGAGAAAGGGAGTGTCAGAACGCAGGCAGCTGACAAATATGTAAAAAGAATGTTCGATTTAGCATTCTTATCGGTTGGCTAATCAAAAAAAAATCGTTAATTTATAATATTCGTTTCCGCTTGGCTGAAGGAATACGCATCATCAGCAAAAATGTGAGAAAGAGATATTCCTCGAATGAGTTTTCATTCAATAAAAAACAGTTAAAAATTGGGGTAATGTCCAGTCCAGTGTATGGCTATAGAAGCTATACGAAGCCATAGACGTGGCTAATATAGGTATCAATAATAAATAAAATGTAGGTACTGTCTGTCCATCATAAAGGTTCTTAAATCTTAGCAACTACGGGGCAAATCTGTTAAATATATAACTGAAAATCTCTGAAGAAATAGACTAGAAGTGCCACCTACAAAATTTAAGGTTAAACTTATCAGTCAAGTAATTTTATGTATTATTTAGGGATATATTATTCTTAAAATTTTTATTATTACATAGAAAGTAATTTTATGTAATAATAAAAATGTATTTTTAGCAATAAAAATTAAAATAATATAAGTAATAGGTATTTATTTGGGAATGACTTCAAGCACATAAAAAACTGATATGAAAACAAACAAAATAATTTAATTTATTAAGTAGGTACACGTCACACGATCAAACAGTCACACAACACATTACTTTAACATTAAAACTATCATTATCACAATATTGCATTGCTTCTTATAAATTACTTACTACATACCTACAAATCATTATTTAGCACCTTAGCACTCCGGAAATAAAATCTTTATTTTGTAAAAAAAAAATACCTTATTGTTTCTGTCTTAAGAATCACAATCGGTTCAACAACGCCTAGATGCGTTGATATCAACGAACACTTCAAAAAGTTTATATTTCAGAAAATAATGAATAAATTAATAAACAAGTGTCAACCCTATTTGAACACCATTATGGCTTATTTTACGTTTCCCACTTTAGGTCTTTGTAAGAGAGAGATGGAGTTATAGTACAGGTAGACTAGCGACATCTCTTTTTGGTTCTAAGAGTTTAGTTCATACCTAAACTTTTTCTTTTGTAACAATGAACGAAAAACGCTCAGTTCTTCTAATTCGCTTGAATGTTAACTCTGGTTTAACACCTTTTTCTGTGCTTTTATTTTCTCATCTGAAGGTAGAAGTAGACCTACTATTCCTCCACCTGAAAAAGATAAAAAATAGGTTTTTTTTTTAATTTTTTGCTCATCATCGTCAACATCATTAGTTCACAATCACACCTTTTATTTTCTAGAACATTTTTCTGAGGTCAATCTTCTGGACTTAGATTAGAGTCTTAATCCTTGCCCTCTCCCCTTCCCTCCTTAATCCCAAATTTCATAAACCCTATTCACTAAAAGGCTGACAACGCATTCGTACCATTAGGAACCTAATCCGTCGGCTTGTTTGCCGACTTATCACTTAAGGCCGACTAATGTCTTACTCTCGTACTTTTCTGATACAAATTGAAAAACAGCCATATTAAAAGTAACTTTTTAAACTGCAAGTCTTCTAAGAGTAGTTGAGCCTTGTTCCGACTCTGCCGGAATGATACACGTGGCTTCACAGAATACTGACTTGAGATTAGGCTGACGTTGTGTTTCGCCATGTGTGTGAGGTTACCGATAGCCCCAATCTTGCCCGATCCTCAAAAGCCTATCTACCTACATAAGCCTGGCAATTTTTTGCGGATAGCGACTATTGCTTAACATCAAATGACACGTCCGCTTGTTTGTCAATCAATAAAAAAGAGCAAGGCGCACTCACCAACAGCCACAGCTCCAAAAATATAGAAGGCAGCTTCACAGTTTGTGTCAAGCAGTTTTTTCAGGACATTGATGCCGATTACAGCACTGCCTCGCCCAACCATCAGAGTAAGACATACTGCCATGGCTCTGTAAACAAAATTGGATCAATTACTAGCTACTCTCACGCGGTTTAACACGCTGCTCAGCTTCATTTGTTCGTAGCGTGATGTGTTATAGCCTATAGCAATCAGGAGCATTGTAGCTATCTATCAGTGAAAAAATTTTGGCAATCCGACCACCGGTTCCAAAGATTACCCCCTACATACAAACAAATTTTGCCTCTTTATAATATTAGTATTGATGGTTCATTCACAATAACAGCGCTCACTATCAACCTCAACTCTTAATGCTGCTATAAACAGAAATTGCAATTATGTACTTTGATATGCGCACACTTCGGCACGAATAGGTCGGTTCGACCGGAGTGATACCACGACCTCACAGACACCTGGCGTGAAACCACCACAGCAATTTTGCCATGTGAGTGATACATATCCGACCAATACCTATCCTTCCCCTTCCTATATGCCTTCCCAATCCATCTACCCAATAAGTTACCGACAACGCACTTTCCTTTGGTGTTGTGGGTGTCCATGTGTGGCACCGATTGCTTACCATCAGGTAATGTATCTTTTCCTTTCCCCAAACACATACATATGATTAGCGTATTAAACATTGGATATTCTAACTTACCTGACATAAGTGGGGAACACGTCGACGCAGAAAGAAGTGAGAAAACCAAAAGTGAAGACAGCAGACAAGAAGACCATGAACAGGATGGCGCTTAAGACCCAAAACGGGCTGAAGTTGATGACTAACGCTGCTATGCCAGCTACCACCTGGAAATAATTTGAATGGTGACTTAGTTTGCGTGTAAACTGATTTTAGATTGTATTACTTGACCTTGGTTAAAGTCATAGTCAAACTTCAAGTCAGAGTCAGAGTCAAAGTCAAAGTCAAAGTCGAAGTCAACGTCAAAGTCAAGGTTAAAGTCAAAGTCAAAGTTACTGTCAAGGTCAAAGACAAAATCATTTATTCCAACTGTACCATAATAGTCATGCAATGTGTTCATCAATTTAGCAAGGTGCCTGTTTCAAAGTGTAGGTTCGAACGGAGAAGAACGAACAATTAACAACATTATTATATTACAAAAAAAGTTGTGTACAAGTGTTACTTATTATTATTTCTTATTATCTCAATGAAAATTTACATTAATTTCAATCCAGAAAGATGGGAAGTGCAAGTTGTAAATGAATTCAAAGTTTCATACATACAAAAAGCAAATTACAAATACTCATCTTCACACTCAAGACTGATAAACAGACAAAAAATTACGTTCATTATCAAACAGTGCATTTAAAAACAGAAGTTTTGATGTTATATTTACCTGCATACAAACAAAGAGTTTCTTCCTTCCGATGCAGTTGATGATGGCGCTGGTGAAAATATTGCAAACCCCAAGCACCATCACTATACCAAACACCAGGGTCATCGCTTGGCTGTTCATAGAACAGTCGTTGGTCTGAAAGAAAGAAACAGAATTAGTCAGTGAGGGAGTAAGATGATCTTCTGTCTTGTTCCAACCAAAATCCAAATGACAAGTACCAATATAAGGCGATTGTGACTACAAAATAACATATGATTTCTAATTAGAAGTTGGAAGTCGCCAATAAACCTTGATCAAGCGTGGTGAATGATTCTCAAACCTTCTCCGTGTGAGCAGTGGGCACTTAGGCTGATGATGAAATGATGACACACGTATTTACCTCTTGCACAGACGAAGAGTTTGCAGAGAGTCTGATCATTTCGCAGATGGTAAGATGTCTCTCACCGGCTACCACTGATGTCATAAACGCGTTCACTATGAATGGTAACCACACGAAGAAAGAGTTCATACTGAAAAAAAAAACAGCATTATAATCATTCTTCAATAAAATACACGAAATTCTTCGAATACTTAATAAGTGAACATAAATTAACAAAAAATAACGAGCTATGATTCATTCAAGTTGCTTAACAAACAAAACAAATTGACCAAAATTGGTTTATCCGTTTAGGAGAAACAATGCCACAAACATGCAGACACAAAGTTCATCAAAGCTAATCATAGATATCTTTAAAATAGCTGTTTTTGTATTTCTCTGTACATATTGTATAGATCTCGGAAACGGCTGCCCCTTTTTTGTAGCTTTTCTGTAAATTCGCTCCAACAATTAGACTGCACGGTCAGTGCGGTGGCTGGGCAACTGGCTGCTGTGCAACGTGTCGGGTTCGATTCCCGCACGGAACAACTCTTTGGGTGACCCACAAATTGTTGTTCCGGGTCTGGGTGTCATGTGCATATGAAATTGTATGTTTGTAAATGCACCCACGACACAGGAGAAAATCCTAATGTGGGGCAACGTTTTTTAAAAAAGAAAGAAAAGAACGATTTCGGTTAAATATTGTACGTACAGGTTTTATTTTATATCAGAAAATAAAAGAAATATACCAAGCAAAGTTTAGTCATTCAGGTGTTTATGATCGGTAAAAATACTTACGTAATATAAGAAATGACGAATAGGAATGATAAGAGTAGTGTGTTCTTCAGCAGTGGTGGTTTCACCATAGGAATGGTCTGCGCCGCCACTGATCCCCAGAATCCTTTGCTGAACGATGATGCCTGTCCTTCTTCCAATTCTAAAGAAGTTACCTGGAAACAAACAAATTATTTCGTATTTTGTTTATTTTGATGACATACACACACATAGAATTATAATCTGTTTTTATGTATCATAATAAAGTTTTTATTGTCAAATTAAACTTTTACAACTTCAAATAATAAACCTCATGTTTCGTATGAGCATCAAGGGGCTTATAATATTTTCAATAAATTTAGTATATTACACGATAGTTACTATTCAATTATAATGGCTAGTTTCATCAAAAACGGCTCAGTAGGTACCATTATTATAACATCTTTTTTTCCTGCTGAAAAACAAAAACGCAATATTCATTTATTACAATGGTGATTAAAAATGTGATAAATTATCCATGTATTAGTAAATAAATAATCTAGTACGTCTTCGAGATTATTATTTATAATGGTGGCAGAGAAAGATGGATGAGTTCTTGGTATTAGGTCTCCAAGGCCTTTGAATTATGCATGATTAGGTTAAATAACCAAATCATCTACCGCGGCCCTGCTCGCAGCTAAATAAGAAATAGTTGGTTTAAAAAAAGGGAGACTTAGCAACCTGGACTCTACACAAACAAGATCACAGATCATCAGCCTATAAGTGCCCACTGCTGAGCCCCTCCTCATACGGAGAAGGTTTGAACATTACACGCTCAGTGACTGGGCAATTTTTGGAAAAGCTATGGTGTATCATTAAGGATACATCGGCGCTGAGCGGGTTAATTTCCACGCTTGCCTAAGGTGGATTGGTGATTTCAAACTTATAGGTAGAAGTTATAAGTCCAGGTTTTCACAAGATATTTTCCTTCACCGTATATCAGTGGTGTCTAAATACGCATATAACTTGGAAGTCACATTGTACTTGCCAGGTTTCGACTCCGCGCTTACTTTCCTCATACATGAGGCCACCACGACTCACACGGTCCCTACGCATTTTAGGGATAACTTTTACTTACCAATGATATTATAAGTAAAATGGTATAGATAGGTTACATAAACAACATTCGATTTTCAAAAACAGCACACTTACGCACACATGAATAAATCGTATGATACACGTTAAAGTGGGATGGCATGATTCAATAATCGCGAGTGAAAAAGAGACAATATAAAAAAGTGGGGCTAGTTAGCCACATTTCAATGTATCACTTGCTGAGCGGTTGAAGCTTATCTACACCTTTTTGCTTATAATATCATTGCAACTTACTGTATAAGTATCAGCACTCTTCCCAGTATTAATGACATACATCCGTTTGAGGACGTTCAAGGCGTCTTCTTCTCTTCCAACACTGACCAGGTATTTAGGACTCTCATTGGCAAAGAAGCATCCAATGGCACTCAAGGCACATGGCACAGCGAAGATTAGGTTCAGCAGTCTCCAGGAGTTGAAGTAGATATCCAGTCCAGGGATGTAGAAAGAGAAGGTCAGCGGTAGAACTGGTATTGCAATTACTGGAAGAATAGAATTTAGTAAAGTTTGGTTCTTTATCCTTGGAAGTAAGGAGAATAAAGTTTTCGATGCGTTATAAATAAAGTGATTCGTATGTTAATAACTGGGATGGACGAACTGAATAGATTTTGACGAAAAATGTAAAAACTCAAAAGATCAAATCATTCGTTCCAATTACACAGATTTAGGCCCTTTTCAAACAAAAGTCTGGCGGTCCTCTAGTGAAGCTTTTGAGCTCCTACACAACCTTACTAACCTCACTTACACAGCGCAGCGATACACAACACTGTGGTTGTTTCACGCCGATTTCCTGTGCGACCGTGGTATTACCGGTCGGTCGAGCCGACCCATTCGTGCCGAAGCGTGGCTCGCTTACACAAATTTCATTAGGTGGATAGGTCTATCAAGTAAAATGAACATACCTGCCATAATTCCAATAGACATAAGATAAGCACTAGTGCACAGCAGCACTAAGCCACTTCGCTTCTCCGATGGTGTGCACTCGCTTAGTAAGGTCATTGATAAGGCCATAGACCCCGAAACTCTGTAACAAAAATGTATATGTAAATACATTTTCCCCGATCCATGTTCTTCCTACTGGCTCCTTCTGTCAGTCTGTCAAAAACTGAATAGGAGAACAAAATAATATTGGTCAGAGACAGATGGATAGCAGTAATTTTTGATGAACCTGTTCGAAATTAACGGTATGAATGGGGAAAATCATCGAATGACTTCTCCCGGACAGGGTGAGGCGAGAGGGAGTGTATCCCCGTTCTTTCACCTGCTTTGTCTATTGTCTCTTTGAAACACGCCGTACGGGCCTGGTTGTGGTTGGGCTTTGATCTACCCTTATGCTGGAGTTCGTCTCTCGATCCCCGACGCCCGGTAACTGCAGCGGCTGGGCCGTGAGGAGGATAGCTTCCTCATGCGCTTCGGCTCCTTCTGTGCGACCATCACTGCTTCGCAGAGAGAGGAGACGGCTTCCCAGTTCCACTCGCTCCGCACTATGGCTTCGACTAAGGCCCGGCCCATTATAAGAATGGATGACTGGCTAATGAACGGAAGAATTTTATATTAATTAAAATACTAACGAACTAGAAGAGAGCAGTTTGAGTAGACTCAGCACAATCCAGTTGGGTGACAGCGTAGCTGCTGTGCCAGCTAGGTATGTCATGGTCATGGAGATGATGAGGACCTTCCGCCGGCCCCTGGTGTCCGCCAGGTAGCCCCAAATGTGAGATGTCGTTATAATACCTGCAAAAAGTGATTGTTTACGTTTTCTTTTATACACTATAATTTGTATAGGAGGTACTACGGACTGATCTTTTATTATACAAAATTCTTAGTGACCTTCTTCTTTAGCTTCGATTACATTCCAAAAGAACGATGACATGAAGAGAGTTAAAGATCCAAATCTATGTAGTCCGTAAATTAGAGTCAATGAAATACTTAATATTTAACACACATTTGTGTGTGTTGTTTAGGAAGTGGAAGTCATTATGTCAGCGCTCTGTAGAAAATATATGTACTAAATCGTGACGTCACTTTAAACTTCTTTTATTTATTTTTTATGGCATAGATCGGCAAACGAGCAGATGGATAACTTGGTGGAAAGTAATCAGCGCTACCCAATGGACAACAACAGAGGTGAGGTGAAGTTTGTTATTGTTAGTGTAAGGACCGTGTGAGACTTGCCGCGCTTTTGGACTTGCGTGCCTGTCTTCAGAACGGGTCCACTTAAACTGGTGTGGTTCTTTCATCAAAAGACCACTATAGAATGAACTTGCACGGTTCTCTCACATTATGTTATTTTTACATTGTCTGGACTTGAAAAGAGACTGACCTCTGAGTTTGTTTCGGCACTTCTTCTCATAGTAGTCAGATAGGAAATGCCGGCTTCATCTAGTTTTTTACATATAAATTGACGTGTAAACGTGCCGTTTTATGGCCTATTTGCAAAAATAAATTCATTGTTTCATTATTTCATTGTTTTGGGAATCCGGCAACCTCACAAAGAAGTACACCACTGTAGCTGTTTCAAGCCGGTTTAATGTGAGATCGTGGTATGACTCCGGTCGAGCCGACCCATACGTGACGAAGCATTCCCGCATATAAAAAGAGTAGTGGTTAATAACAACTAACCAATCAGAGGTACGCTGGCCATCAGCCCCTGCTGCGTGCTGGTGGTGTGGAGCTCGCAGACGCTGGCTGGCACTACATAGGACACTGAGAAGATCTCGTAGGTCATGCCGACGATGATACTGGCACACAAGATGAACAGGCACGCATTGTAACGATTGTAACCTAGGAACAAATAAAAAAAATAAATAGTACATGTTATTGACCGCTAGCGCACGAAATGTATTTTCTTTTTTTTTGGAATAGGTCTGCATAGGATGCATGGGAGCAGAGGGATTATCTGACGGTAAGCGACCAGCACCGCCCTCAAACAGGTGTCTGCAAGAACATAGAAGTTACGGGATCATTTTGGTAAGAGTTTCGGAGATTTAGCGATGAATGAGAGAATTTAACCCTCATTAACTAAAAATCGCGGGTTACTCACGTGTATACAAATATTGAGAAAAGCTCTACTAGTTACGAACCACAGTGGGGTTCTTCTTCATGAGCAGCGTGCGCGGACGCGGCGATGTCGCGCGGCCAACCTAACCTAGCCTAGATTTTTAGTTAATTTAGTATTATGTCTCACGATAGTTATTATAAAAAAAATTTACCCTCGCACAGGCGTTACGTCACCTGGCAGACTACTTCAGTAGAACTGACTCCAACACTTCAATGGGTATGTCATTTAAGTCTTTAAAAACAACCAACAGCAAAATTTGGTGCATGATTCGAATTTTCAATGCAAAACAAAATATTAAAATATAATCATATTTTTTTTTATTTATCTTACTAGAACTTAATATATCAAAATCAATCAATCAAAATCAAAAATCATTTATTCCAAATAAACCATAAATAGGTACTTTTGAAACGTCAAAATAGAATAGTAGTCTGTCAGTCTGTTCGTCAGTGAAGCTAGGTGCTCGTTCCAAATTGTAGTTTCGAATGGAGAAGAACGAGCAAGAAACTCCATCGTTACTCTTTTAAAAAAAATATTTGTTTTACAATTCATAAATAATACATTTTTTATACATTACTGTACCCCTATGTGAGAACAATGCAGAGACAAGTTGTTAATAAAAAGGAACAAATGATGGTCTATCTATCATTAAAATTTTAATCCTTTGTTGTCTCGAACATGGTGCTCACATATGCGTACTCACAATCCAAAAGAATGCTTCTATATAAACTCATTCAAGGTTTCATTAATTTTGAGAATTTCAATAACTAATGACTACATATTTGAGTATTGTCCAGTGGAGCCGAACCAACATGATGCCAGGCATTCTTGTCCTCAATATAATCTGAAAGTTTGTAGTATGCCTGTCTACATAATTCGCGTTTAATATAAGTTTTAAATTTTCGTTCATTAAGATTTAATACACTTCTTGGAATTTTATTGTAACAATTTACACAGAACCCCATTAAGGATTTCTGTACTTTGGACAGACGGAATCGTGGCACAGCCAGCCTATCTTTGCCTCTTGTATTAAAATTATGTCTATCGCTTCTTTTTTCAAATAATTGCAAATTTTTCCTTACGTACATAATGTTTTCATATATAAACTGACAAGGTACCGTTAGGATATTTATCGTTTTAAATAGTTCTCTCAGAGATTCACGAGGGGGCAAGTTATATATCGCTCGGACAGCCCGCTTTTGCAAAATAAATATTGAATTTACTTCCGCAGCTCGACCCCACAGCAAAATTCCGTACGACATAATGCTGTGAAAATAGCTAAAATAAACAAGCCTTGCTGTGTTCACGTCTGTGAGCTGTCTAATCTGTCTAACTGCAAAAACAGCTGAGCTCAGTCTTCCCGAAAGCGTCTTATATAATTTATATATTATAATATTTTAATATTATTATAATATTTGTATATATATTTTTCTAGCTAATTATTCAAGAAACAAGTACGCTCTTGATTCTGTAAACGCACAAACGACTCAGGAGAGAATCATAGTATATTTTTTTTTGCGAGTGGAAGTGTCAGACTCTATCTAACTAAAAACCCTATCCTAGTGAGGGCCAAAGGGTTTCGTTACCTCAGTCACCCTCAGGTGGTAGCATTTAAGAATCTATTTAATTTATTTTTGATCGACTTATTAAATACTTTCAAATAAACTGTCCACATGCAATATCTTCCAACATAACACGAAGTATGACATAAGGTAAATACACAATAAGCCTTTCAAGGAGGCAAGGAGCTATTTAATATGTAACAAGTTATATGATACGTTTACGCACATATTATCGCATATTTACATTAGTATAGGAGACACTGCCAAGCGTTTATGTACACTAAACTAATGTGGAATTGAGTCGCAATTCGCTTTTGTTTGTTCTAATCTTAAATTTGCTTGGAATAATTTATAAACGGTTCTTTTAGATTTTACATAATATAGATGTTAATAAAAGTATATATTAAATTTTCTTATTACTTTATTTATCAAATCAAATAAGTGGCGTTATATCAGGTCTTTTAATATGTTAGGGGTTAATTAGAAATGCACAAACTTATGAAACATCCAGCTTTATGTAGTTTTTCATACATAATCAAATTGTTATGTTTAAAGTTGCCGTTTCATGGCCTTTGCGAAAATAAATTCGTTGTTTCAAAATGTTATTTTCAGTAAAATACTGTTTATGAAAATTATACAAAATATGTTTAGTCTGTGAATTAAATTACTTACTATAATATAGAAATTAATAACAAATTGTGTTGGTAAGCGCTTAACTCGAAAACGCCTGGACCAATTTGTCAATTCTTATTTTGTTGTGTTCGTTATATCCAGGAGAAGGTTCTTATGAAAGAAAATATTAGAAAAGAAGAGGAAAATTGGGTAAAAGGTGGGTAAGTTGGGCCGCTAGTAACTTAAATAAATTTAAATAAAAAAAATATTAGACAATCATTTTAGTATAAAAAAAAAATTAACAAAACTTATTTAAATTTGGAATTCGTAGTAGCCTGAATGTTAATCGCCCGTTTCTCATGCATTCCAATTTCAAAATCCAAATTTGACAAATAGCGAAGTGAGAGTTTCCGAGTTATTTATACTTTCAAAGATAATTCACAGACTACTGACATACGACGAAGGACAATAATAAAAAAACTAGACCTTCTTATTATAATAGCAAAGTACGGCGCGTCCTAGGGACATGAATGGCTGTCTTGGATTCCGTAACGAAATCGTCAGAAGATGAGGACAAGAAAAAACTAAATATAGTTCCCATTTCCCTCGCCTAGCCTTAACGGCACGAAATAATATATATTATACATATGTATAAGTGTGGGTGAGCTATGTTTCGGAGTGATACAACGGCCTCAAACGTGTGTGTGAGGTTACCGGAGGCCCAATTGTTCTCTTTACCCAATCCCTGTCCAATACAAAAATCTCCAATCCCCAAAACGTCGGCAACGCACTTGTAACTCACCCGTTGTTGCGGGTGTCCATGTGCGCACTGATTGCTTACCATCAGGTAATACGTGCGTACGGCAAACGATCGTTTGCCGTCCATTCACATAAAAAAAATATTATGGCAAAATAACGTTTGTTGGGCTTGGCTTAAGCCAGTATTTAATATAACAGTTTGGCTATGTAACAATGTATCTTAATTCACGACAGCAAGGCATTTTTAAGCTACGGTGTCAGTCACTATCAGACTTTCATACGCATTATCACTACTGATAGCAGACTGTATAAAATTAATAAAAAAAATTGTTAAAGCACTTTTACGGAATAGATAAATAATTAGTTACATTAACGTTTTGTAAAAATATATGTATTTAAGAACATGCGAAATTTTCAAACACAATTGCTGTCTTTTTTCTCATAAAAAATATTATTTTAAGTATTTTACCTGATGGTCAAATCAAATAATTTATTTGCTTAAAACATGGTAGGTAAAATATCTACAATTTTTTTGATAGTATTTAATGAGTTCAATTTATATGAATTAAACATTCTGCATTATATATTAAGAATAAAAATAAATTTATTAGTTTAATTGTTACAATTAAGTACAGATTACTTCTTACTTTAGTTACATTAAAATATACTATTGTAATCCAATTATTATTTTAAGTATAAATAAAAGAAAAATAATCTCAAACCCATTTAACATATCAATTTAAAGACAGTACCACTAAACATTATGATTATAGTTAGATTAAAAACCACTATGAAATTTATGAATACTTTATTGACTAGATCACTGAAGGATCATTATTGAATTTCAAACTATATCGCTAGATGGCGCTGATTTTGACAAATTGACGTTTCTATTTCTCACTAAATGACCCCAAAAGATAGCACCATAACCATGGCAACTATGTGATTAATCTATATTAATTTGTCAATAAAGAGGTAACATTTATAAGTTTGTATGTAGGGGATAATCTTTGGTACCTACCGCCCGGTCGGATTTCCAAAATTCTTTCACTGATAAAAAGCTACAATCTTCCTGAGTGCGATAGGCTATGAATTATACTTAATTTGCGTATTTCGGTTGAGGTATCGCTTTAAACTCTGCTCTTTAACATTTCAATTCAGTCCCTGATACAATACTTTTATTTGTGTAAAAAGCCGCAGGCAGAAGCTAGTAAAACAATTTATTAGGTACTGTGAATAAACATTGAGTACACACTTCCTAAGAAATATTCCAATTTATGTGTGACCAATTAGTTTTAAAAAAGTGTGTAATCTTACATTTTCTCCAAATGCATTGTTTACGCGATTGCAATTAGTTCGATTGCCCGATCATTCAGTTGCAACTGATATAACAAAATAAACGTAAATATTATCGTTACGCGTTATTTAAGCAACTAATCTTTTTCAAATATAATAGGGATGACAGAATACCAAAATTAAAAATCTATTTACTTCATCCCGCTTTGGTAATGAAACAATATTATTTATCATAATATGATAGGTGCCATTATGTGTTGTATTTCTGTTTTTGTTACCGACTTTCATGTCTTTTGTTTTCATTCTGTTTGACTGCACGATTGGCGCGGTGGCTGGGAAACTGGCTGCCGCGCAACGTGACGCGGGTTCGATTCCCGCACGGAACAACTCTTTGTGTGATCCACAGATTGTTGTTCCGGGTCTGGGTGTGATGTGCATGTGAAATTGTATGTTTGTAAATGCACCCACAACACAGGAGAAAATCCTAAAGTGGGGCAAAGTTTAAAAAAAAAAGAAAAAAAAATGTCTATTGCCGAATAAATATATTTTTCTTTCTGTCTTTCTTTCTTTCATTAATATATAATATTGCGTTGTGTGACTACTTTTACTACTACAACAAATATTTGGGTGTTTAAAAACATACAAACAGATCTACATACATAATAAAAAGCACCAGTTCGAATTTATGATTAGAACATCATAATATTCAATTAATATACAGTTTACAGAATATTACATACAGATTATATTGATAACCTTTATATATGAAGTTGTTTAAAGAGATACGATACTGCTCATGAATATGAGCCTCTACCATGGCTTGAAACTAGTCGAGTTCCTCGTCAAATAAATAGTTGAGTAAGCCGAAAACATAATAATTAAGATACGAAATAGTTAATAGAAACAAAAAACAAACACAGGAGGAAATACTTGATTTGTTTTATTTTATCTATCTCGCCTGGTGATAAGTAGCTACTTATGTGAAGACCTACGAAAGTGCAAGCCTACCCATAAGCAATTTATTCACTTCGACTTTGAAGACACCCAGGTTATATCCTTCAGGAGACTCCGGCAAAGAATTTCAGTAATTTAATACAAGGTCATTTTCTTGTATGTACTTACAGATTGTTCCTGGAAGCATGGATTCAAACAAGGTATAAGGAGAGGTCGTTAGGCACATTTATTTTTAACCGACTTCCAATAAGGAGGATGGTTCTCAATTCGACCGTACATATGCTTTTTTATCTTTAAGACGTTGGTCGAATTTGTATCGGATCAAAAGTTATAGCGAATTTAAATTTTTATGTTATTTAGTGCCTACTACTATTACAGTGGATCTTAAAAGCAAAAACATTATGACCTTCTTTTTTATTGTGTTCCGAATAAATTTTTTTTAAGTAGTTACAAAATATATGTCTTAGAAATACCTGTCATATTCAATGCATCTTCAAAAGGCACTCTTAGGCCTTTAGTCGTCATTTTAACACTAAACTCACGTACACTGAACAAAATAATTTAATTATTATAAAATATATTTTACTATCGTTAAACAAGTTAATGACATGACTTTACTAGGTGTAACAACTAACTGCGTCAGTTTAATGTGTCAACTGTAATTTATAATAAAACAAAAGATGGTAGCAAGCGGCTTTTTTATTTGACGTTGGGTTCTGCATAGTATGTTTTAGTGTGGAAGAGCCATGCTTCGGCACCAACGGGTCGGCTCGACAGGAGTGATACCATGACCTCACAGAAAACCGAACACAGCCTTACATAAACCGGCGTTAAATAACAGCGTTGTGTTTCGCCGTGTGAGTGAGGTTACCGGAGGTTTAATTCTTCCCCTCCCCCAATCCATAAATCCTTAAAAGGGCGGCTTTTTGCGGCGGCGCTGATTGCTTACCATCATTATTTTTCCTAATAATATTTAAGTTATTGTGATTGCTTGTAAATTTCTGTCGTGTTAAACATTCTCTCGTAGAGGCGAGGTAAGTCGCGCTTTTTGTGCATGTATGTGGGTCCTTGTGTGACCGATTTAATTTTTTGATAAAATTAGATTAGATTCTGGTCTCGTTGACAATATCACGTGAAAAAATTTGTTTTTTCTTTGTTTGGAACAGCAAATCTTGCTTCTTTTTGGTTTACACAGAAGAATATACAATTAAAAACAAAGATAAGTAGCAAAAACTAAAGTTAAAAATGTTACAGCAATCTCTCACGGAACCCCAGCACTTGAGAATCTGTTATCACAAGATATTGAGTATAATGTGTCTACAAAATGAGATGTAATCCTTCGTTTTTCATAGTCATCTCATGTTGATATTGGAGATAAGAGATCACCACATGCTTGTTATGATATGGTCCTAATAATATTTAATAAAATTTAAGTTTTAATTTTAATTTAATATTAAACTTTCATTTTTAATTTAAAATTTTATTTTTAAATTAAAGTTTTCTGCTTTTTTTTTAATATTTTTTTTTATGATTGTACATTTGTATTTTAATTAATTTTCCTACCGCAAGTATGCAGGAAGAAATTCCTTAGGAATATGCAGTACCTACGTTCGTACCTCTTTTCTATATATCTAAATGCTTATTATTTTTGTGTGCATACATTACCTACTAACTAAATAAATTATTAAATACAAATAAATATCATGACATAAGTTAGTATAAACATAAATCAATCCGCGAATATAATATCATTAGATATCGCGAATGTGTATTGAAACATGTACTTAGATTACTTTCCAAACATTATTTATTCATAATTAAGATAATTGTAACAACATCATCAGCCTATAAGTGCCCACTGCTGAGTAAAGGCCTCTTCTCATACGGAGAGGGATTGAGCATTAATCACCACGCATGCTCAAGGTGGTTTGGCGATTTCAAACTGATAATTAGAAATTATAAGTCCAGGTATCCTCACGATGTTTTCCTTCACCGTAGATCAGGGGTGTCTAAATAATCTTAGAAAGTACATATAACTTGGAAAAAGTCACATTGGTACTTGCCAGGTTTCGAACGCGCACTCTCGTGTTTAAGAAACGGCGCCTTAACCTCCGGACAACCATGACATCACCCCCTTTTTATCAGGGAAAATTCATCAAATGACTCCTTGAGACGAGAGAGAGTGTCAGATTCTTACTGACTAGAAACCCCCCTGTTCCTTCTCCTGCTCTGGGCCGAGGTCGCAGTGCCTCATTGCGCTTACCCCGCAACTTCGGCTAAACATCAGCCTTGTACGGCCCCGTCCGTGGTAGTCTAATGGCTCTTTGAGGCGCGTGCGAAACGCTACGGGCCTACGCTCGGGTTTGTCTGGTTCTGGACCGGTACCGGACCGACCTATATACCTAATTTCAGTTTTAAAGAACACCACTTTCATTCCAAAAACTGTGTAAGTGAAAATTTTAAGTCATCTGATACAATAATTTTATCTCTACTCAGGAACCAAAGAAGGAAATCCCAGGTCGACAGCAATACTAGCGATAACTCGATTAGTAACGCGGTCTATAAAAAGACTAAAATAATGGAAAACTAGAAGATTTTCTAACGTGTGCAAAAGTCACTCGGTTTTATACAATATGTTTATTGTTATATTTTGTGATAGCTTTTGCTCGCGGCTTCGATCGCGTATTTTTTTTATTAATTTTTTATTTTTTTATTGGACAGCTCGGCGAACTAATGCCGCCGTGAACACTCGCAAAATCAAAGGAGTTACGAGTACGTTGTCAGCCTTTTGGGGATTTGGGTTTCGGATATTTAAGGATTGCTAAGCGATTGGGAGAGAGGAATGGATTGGGCCTCCGGTAACTTCACTCACACATATTTCTTTATAAACGTCCTCCTCACTAGGATGTGGCAGCGTTTAAAAACATACAGTTTCACATACGCATCATACCCGGACTAGGAACAAGAATTTGTGGATCACGCAAAGAGTTGATCCGTGCAGAAATTCAGAATGAAACGGTTCCCCGTTCCTTTAGAACACAGTGGAAAACTCTTAACTGGATATTATTGTAAAATGCTATTGTAGACAAATGGGGAAGATTACCAAAAAAATAGGCAGGTATTTTTCGATGTAACAAAGATTTAATTTGCTATTTTTTAAGTTGAAGCCTTGAAAACTGCGACACACACAATTTTTTCTCCATTTTAGGGCAAGCAAGTTAAGCAAGGGGTCAAAAACAGACATAAAGTTATCTTTGTCGTTTCCATCGCTGCATCTAACTCAACTTAAAAACACGTCAATTTGTCACTCCTTTTTACCATTACAAACACACAAACAGCCACATACACTTTCCAATTTACATATAATATTAAAGTACGGATAATAAAATAATCAGCAAAGTTATCATTGTCATCGTGACTCACATTTCTATTTAAATATAATATGTACCGAAAACAAAATATCAAGATGTTGTTTTTGAGTGTTATTGAGGACTTTGATCTTCCATGTTCCGAATCATTTGAGTGCGCTTAAACCAATCGCACAAAGATTAGGATTTTTACTTTTTAGGGGCCGACACTCCGAGCGTTGAGGATCGAGCGACCCAACCCCAACGCGCAATGAGGCACCGCGATCTCGGCCCAGAGTAAGAGAAGGAACAGAGGGCTTTTTAGTCAGTAAGAGTCTGACACTCCCTCTCGTCCGGCTCTGGGCGGGAGAAGTCATTTGATGATTTTCCCCTCACAAAAAAAAAACAAAAAACCCCAGCGTGCGGCCATACCCTGGGGTTATTTTTAGGGTTAGTTTTAGTCAATATAAGAGTCTGACATTTCCTTCCGCTCCACCCCCAGCGGGAAAAGGTATGTGATAATATTCTATTCTCACAAAAAAATCCCTTAGATCTAACAGATCGCAATCAACAGTGTTTTTAGAAATAGCAAACTTGTAAACTACGAGTTTTGTACCCATATTTAATCAACAACTAGAAAAAAATGCTATCTCAATCTATTGTCGAAGAGTACCATTTTAGCGTCTCACCACGTGGATTTAAGCGACTTTCATGCCCAAATTAACTTATAATTTGCTGTGCTATTTTCGCTAAAGAGTTATTTTATCAATCTCTAAAGATTTAAATTCTATTACCATCTACCAAATGAACTCTGCTATTCAAAACACCTTGTTCTTAAAATTGCACAATAGTTGGATTAAATTATCTAAAAGTTATCAACACAATGAAGACAGTAGTCTTACCTCGGATATTATTTCATGATTGCAAATCATCGTCATTTTGAAAGGAAAATATTGTTACGAGCCTGACCTCACGTTCCTGACTATGCGGGCTTGGGTTACGGGATTGGATGAAATAAAACACTAATACCGGTTTTAGACTTTCTATTGCACCTAGATGACAGCGCCCTCGGAGTTAAGTTATCGGCGTTCCTCTCCAGCAGAGTCCGGGCGACTGACACAAACTTCCGTTTGCCGCTCACTGTTCACGCTGACTTTCACTTAACTCATTGCACTTCACTATTTCACTCACTGCACTATTTCACTCACTTTTCTTCTTTTTCACTTCTTCCTTTTCTTCCGAATCGCTTTGGACTTAGAACTCAACTGCCAGCGGTGAGCCGCAGTTCCGCTTATATACCCCCGGTCAGGTTCTGGAACATTCAATTTCGTTATTCTTTTTGATCGTCATGCCTCCAGAACCTTCCAATAATTTCGTTATTCATTTTTATTTATTCTCCTTCTCGCTCTTTAATTTTTCATTTCTTTCACACAAATAATTCCAGAAAGTTCGACAAAACTTCTATCAACTAAAAAACTTCATGTTTACGGCGGGACTCGAACTCGGGGTCTCTGTGGTGTAATCCACATGCCTTACCGATTACACCAACTCGTGTTGACAATTCACGACGAAATTTACAATCTCTAGGCAACGTTTGACAACCATCCATTGACGTCATGATGTCAAAGAGTTTGAACCACTTTTCCGTCACACTGCCCCCCTCTTAGATTCGCTCGTCCCGAGCATCGTTGCTGCCGTAATATCTCGCCAACCTGTCTATATGGACAACTTTCAAAGGGCTCCTTGAAGTCTTCCGAATTCTGTAAGTAATGTCATTGATCTTCGTGACTATCTCATAAGGACCTTCCCAACTCGGTTGCAGCTTCGGAGATTTTCCCTTCCTTCTGACTGGATTATGAAGCCAGACCAATGACCCCTCTTCAAACCCAACAGAATTGGCTCGTCGATCATAGCGCGTCTTTGCGCGATCACTAGCTTGAAGACCGGCCTCCCTGATCTGCTCATAAATGTCCAACATTTTTGCCCTTAACTCGCTTATGTAATCGCTAAACTCGGTGCGCGAGTCGCCAGGTGGACAGCCCGATACAAGATCTGCCGGTAATCTCAATTCCCTTACAAAATTTGCAAATGCAGGCGTCTTTGCGGTACCTTCATGTACAGCAGTCCGATAGGCAAGCAAGAAGAGAGGTATGTAAGTGTCCCAATCTCTCTGATGGCTGTCAACCACCTTTGCTAAGTGTCGCTCCAATGTTTGGTTGAAGCGTTCGACCATTCCATCTGACTGTGGATGATAAGGGGTCGTTCGAGTCTTATGGATTCCCAAAAGTTTACAAGTTTTCTGAAAAACTTGGGATTCAAAGTTCCGTCCTTAATCACTGTGCATCTCCAAGGGCACT